CCCACAACTAGATCAACCACCAACGGCTGCCGCCCAGGGATAGCAACGCGAGCTGGGTGGTCCGACTAATCGAAAGTTATTGGAGTCTTCGACCGCTTGAAGTACGTCGTAGTTGCTGGAACAACCATATTCACCTCTCGAGTAATGACCTTCAGTCGGCTTTTGCTCTCGACGTCAGCGAAGATCACTAGAGTGGGATTGACCTTGGGGTAATCCTCAACCTTTTCTTCACCATCATATTCGGGGCTCTTTTCACTCGACTCACCGTCACGGAACTGCTAAATCAACGGTCTACACTGTCGACTGGTATGCTTGGGTAAAATCAGGTTACCCTCCTCATCTTTCTTGGTGTGAATGGCACATGACAGATCGAGGACATCTTGCCCCGACTGATCCTTCTTCTTCTTGGGTATCCATTGCTCTCTGGCTTTCCCTTTTAACTTGCCTTGTGCAGCTACGGCGGCTGCCTCTGCTTGACCAATAGCTTCAGCATTGCGCTTTTGTTTCTGACTGGGATTATTGCTGTTGGGGTCATGCTCATTAGCTTTTCCTTTGCCGCCGCGGAGACAATCTTCTTCCTCGCCATTCGCGTACTGAGTGGCAATCTCCATCAATCGATTCAGGGACAGGGCCCCATATCGTCCAAATGTTAGGATGAGTTCTCTGTACCTAACACCTTCTTTGAAGGCACAACCCGCCTGATGCTCTGTAATGTTCTCCACCACATGGTGAAGCATGGTCCAACGATGTATGTAATCCCTCAAAGTTTCATTTGGCTTCTGGACATAGTGCTGCAATTCAGTCAGCCCAGCAGGACGCTTGCAAGTACCTTCGAATGTTTTAATGAACACTCGGGCCAAGTCTTCCCAGCAGTATATACTGGCAGGAGCCAACTGGTTCAACCACACCCGGGCCGATCCTTCTAGCATCAAGGGCAAATGTTTCATGGCGACATAATCATTGCCTCAGCCAATCTGCACCGCCAGTCGGTAATCTTCCAACCATGTATCTGGCTTTGACTCGCTAGTGAACTTGTTCACCCCTGTGGCCAACCTGAAATTGGGTGGTATCTCAACAGCTCGTATGGCCCTGCTGAAGGACTCGGGCCCGGAGACAAACACGTCACTTCCACTCGGACGATCTCTATCCAAGACCTCCCGATGAGCTCTGCCTCTATCAACTAAATTTTGCACGAGGACTGACCTTGTGTTGAATCCAGGATCTCGGGGATTGATTGGCTCTCTCCGCTCGTCGTCGTAAGGGCGCCTATCGTCGTAACGCCGGGGTGCATATGAACCACCCCTAGGAAGGGGCGACGGAACTTGACGGCGGTCTTCTTGGTGAAGTCAAGGAGCAAACTGACTGTGGCCTTGATCCATGTACTGATCCTGGTGGTAACGGCGATCTTCATGCCGCGAAGGCGATCTTGGGCTGAGCTAACTGAACTGTGTCTACCCTCACGGATCGGCTGTGAATTCTATTGCGTGACTAGGAAACGACTGAATTCTGCTCACCAGCCGCTCTGAGCAACGCTCGCATCTGCCGGAGACCTTCTCCAGCTTCAGATCGAGATGGATGGATGGAATCTGCAATCCGCGCAGCAGCTGCAACATTTTGAATCGGAGTGCGGAATACCAGATACTCATTTTGTGATCCACTCGGAAACAATTGCCGCCCCCGTCGATTGAAGCTTGGGGGTTGTCTGTGAGCATGGTCATCGAGCGACTTCTAGAGCTCCTCAAGACGTGTGCACTCAGCCGGAGTGGCTATGCGTGCAGCTTCCAAAGCCTGGGCCTCCGCGGTCGTGCCGACGATTAGAGTCTGCAGGACCTGCTTGTTCCTGCGATGCAGTTCCTCCCTTTGTTCCGCAGTGAGAGGTTGCGGGTAATACTCGTTGTTGACGTGCGACGGATCACGACTCCCATCTCCACCACGGGGAAATCCTAGTGGGCTACGCTGAGAGCCAATCACAAGAACTTCCGCCGCCAGGTCATTGCTTCCGCACTCGGAAGAAGCATCCGAGTGATCAAATCGTAGAGGGGGTTCTTCGGGCTCGATTGCCCCGATCTGCGGAGTGGATTACTGACGTGCCACCGCATACCTCACCCACCCCTGGAACTGCGAGCAACCAGATCGCTTGCGACGGCAAGCGGTAAGGAGGGAAAACGCCACCGGAGTCGATTGATACTGAGTCGACAGCTGCTGGAGGAGGACGTTGCACGAACTTGCACGAAAGTGCACCGCCCCGAGAATAGGGAGCGCCTTAACATCCAGAGGGGATTCCTGAAGCCATGCCGAATCGTCGGTGACAAAGCTGAGGGCGCCGAGACGGATCTCGCGACCCAGGGACAGTCCACCGCCGAAAACCATGATGAAGGAGTTCGAAGAACGCAACCACACCGGAAGTCGCTTAGAGACCTACCCCACGGTGGGCTCCAATTGTCATGGGAACAGATCTGGCAGTAGAGGATAGGGGTACGTAAGGAAGGGCAGAGCCTAGATACGGTGAGGTTGTACACTCGGATTTATGAGTTCAGGCCCCTCTCAGAAGAGGTAACGACACTACGTCTCGGTGCTGCGGGAGCTTATTCTCTGGACTGATAAGTTACAGGAGATGCAAACCCTTGTGTAGGAGCAGAGGGGCGGCTTATATAGAGTCCGCTGACCCCTCATTAATGCTCCATTACCCAAGGGTTGAATGGAAAATTAAAGGTGCACACGTTACTTGTAACGCCTACACTTGATGATCTTTACAGCGACGAACTGATCGCATGACCGTTGTCATCCCGAAGTGGCTCTAGGTCTTTCGTCTTTGAGTGAGGCCTGAAACTCTGAGTGAATAGGGATGGTCGAGTGGTGGAGAAGTAACCGAGTGGATTTCGCTGTCGAGTGACTTGCTCGCTGCGGTCATTTCAGTCGGTGTCTCTTTTCTAACTTTGTAGGCCTTGGATCCCTGTATGTAATGCCCTTTGGGTAGGGTATGTAGGTCAGGCCTGGGACCCTACCCTAGGTACATGTCCTTGTCAAGCACGACATGCCCCGACAAACGTTCTTTGTCGACCGTGCTCGTAGCTCGCCTCGCGCACCGAGCCCACCCAGAGCGCGCGACAGCACGCGGGTGCGCGACCTGACGCCGACGCCCTCTCCCTTCCCCTCTCTGTCACCACCGCCACCTCCAACCATGACAGTCGAGGAGGAGCGGCTGGTGCAAGCCGTGATGAAGGACTACGAGAGGGAGTTTAAGCGCAGACAAGAGGAGCAACGGGAGGAGCTGCACGAGATGATGGCGCTCTCGGTTGCCGGAGATGTCTACGTTCCGGAGCTGGATGTGAAGCAGGAGGTGAAGGAGGAGATGATGGAGGACCGACCGCCCACCCCGGTGTGGAACCCTACGCTGTATGGGCAGTCATGATCGTGGACGACCACGATGCCACACAACCCGCCCTCGCCGCCATCACCAGCACCGCAGGCCACGTGGGCGCCGTGGTCACCACCACCACCACCACCACCACAGCCTGCGCATGCCGCGCCCGCCCCAGTTTGGGGGCCTCCGCCTCACCTTTGGCCGCCACCTCCCTACATCGACCTAATCACAAACAAAGAGGACGAGGATGGTGGCGCTAGAAGACGGCCATGACATCGGCGACAGACAGATCTACCTTTTTTATGTCTTTTTCTAAAAATTTCAACTTAAGTTCTATGTGCGGCTATGACTATCGGGGACTTTTTAATTAAGTTATTGTAATATATTCCCGTTTCAAGCTATTTTACAAAGCATTTTTCTTTTTTCTTTACTTCAAATCGAACATAAAATTTGGGATGCGACCGCGCTCTTGAGTGCACGTACAGGCGAACAACCAAATCCGAACATGAAGGTCCGTTTTACCGACCCAAATAAATAGAATCCGGACAAACCGATGTCCGTTTGGGTCATATCGCCCACCAACCATCCCCGGTGCTACTTCTACCACCGGAAGGATCCAGATCTCACCGGGATCCGGCGTCCCCACCACGGGTTGGCTGACATGGCAGTACCGCATCCGCAAGAGATAAGGACGGGAGCCAAGAAGCCAACCAGATGGCGCCACCTGGCGCACAGCAAGCATCCACGGGTGAGCACGACAGTCGGACTTGGCCGGACCCCCACCTGCCACCCTCACGTCCGTCGCACCCCCACCTCGTGCCTGGCGTGGCAATGGCATCAGGACAAGTGACAACTGGACCCGCCTACCACTTTTCGGCAAGGGCATCGCAAACTTTCTCCAGCGCAAAGAAGGTGACGGGCGCCCAGTGACCAGTGCCAAGGGCATCCGCGCCTGCCTGCGTGCACGGTGCACTGCCGGGATGCATCCACCCAACGCAAAGCCGTCCCCATCCCGTCCCGGCGAGGCAAACCGAGCCGGTGATGGGCGAGCTCGCACCAAACGTCTCACTAATGGCTTCAGTTTATAGCCATGACTAACGGCCTCACGCCCGTGTGCTGTGTCATCACTGGCTGTGCAGCTGACGTGAACCAAAAAGGTTTTAGGCCGCCGACCTGAAACTGAAACTTTGGTGCCCAGAATCATATACGTCGCCGTCGGAGTAGCGTGCAAATGTAAACAGATCCGACTGAGGAATGGTCTGCAGCAAAGCAGGAGTGAAGCAGGCGACAGCAATGGCAAACATCGGCATGCTACCGGCTCAGCCGAGGCGAGCTCGTAAAATAAGCTTGTTTTTAACTCGACCTAGCCAAGTTTGGCAAACGAACAGGCCCCGTGGCCCCGCGCGACAGCGACCGGGCGCCCGAAGTGTCTCGCCTCTCGCGCCCGCCCGCGACACCCGAGCGGAGCCCCCGCCCCTACCATGTGCTGCCTGTCCCTGCCCGCAGACCCCTCAAAGCCCACCCGCGCCCGCGCCCACGCACCCAGCGAGCGAGCACTCAGCAGAAAGCAACGCACCAAATCTTCCAACCCACCCCCCAGTGCCGACCTGAGCGCCGGAGATCCGCGGCGAGCGAGATGAAAGTGGAGGACCAGACGGTTGTGGGAGGAGGAGGAGGAGGGGGGCTCTGGGGGCTGGCCGGCCGGCCGTGCGACACGTGCGCCGTGGACGCCGCGCGGCTCTACTGCCGGTCCGACGGCGCCTACCTCTGCGCCGGGTGCGACGCGCGTGCGCACGGGGCCGGCTCCCGCCACGCGCGCGTCTGGCTCTGCGAGGTCTGCGAGCACGCGCCCGCCGCCGTCACCTGCCGCGCCGACGCCGCCGCGCTCTGCGCAACGTGCGACGCCGACATCCACTCCGCCAACCCGCTCGCCAGCCGGCACGAGCGGCTCCCCGTCACGCCTTTCTTGGGCGGGCTCGCCGACCCGCCCCAGCCCGCCCCCTCCCCGTCCTCCGCCGCCGCGACGCAGGAGGACGCGGACGACGACGGGAGCAACGAGGCCGAGGCGGCCTCCTGGCTTCTTCCCGAGCCTGGCGATAGCCCCGAGGACAGCACCGCCACCTTCTTCGCCGACTCGGACGCGTACCTCGATCTGGACTTCGTCCGGTCCATGGACGGGATCAAGGCCATCGGGGTACCCGTCGCCCCTTCCAAGCTCGACCTCGCCGGCGGCGCTCTCTTCTACCCCGAACACTCCATGAACCAGAGCGTAAGCCTTTCTGACATACTGAAATGGTTTTCTTGACCTGGACGTACGTGGTCTGGTGATAAATAATAGTCTACTACGCCTTTGCAGATGTCAACGTCCGAGGTCGCGGTGGTGCCGGACGCGCTGTCAGCCGGCGGGGCCCCCGCGCCGGCGCCGTCGGTGGCGGTTGTGGCGAGCAAGGGGAAGGAGCGGGAGGCCCGGCTGATGCGGTACCGGGAGAAGCGCAAGAACCGGCGGTTCCAGAAGACCATCCGCTACGCGTCCCGCAAGGCGTACGCCGAGACGCGACCGCGCATCAAGGGCCGGTTCGCCAAGCGCACCGCCGAGGACGACGCGCTGGAGCAGGACGGGCCGTTCTCGCCCGCCTCGTCGGCGCACCTGGCGTCGGAGGGTGACTACGGCGTCGTGCCGTCGTTCTGAGGAGACCGGCGACGGCGACTCGGCTGTAGTTTTGGCGCGAGCATCCATCCGAGCGCGCGCGCGAGCGGTGGCTCCTGCGACGCGCGATCCGTGTAACATTGAATAATCTGTACAGTTTTGTTCCATGGGATTAGTGCTGTGACCGTGCCGACCTGATGTACACTCACTGTTTTCTTCTCCCGAATCCAGTCTTTGCACCCTGCCTTTGTTCCATCTTCCATGGGAGTAGTATTCAGCAACTGTGACCTTCATTCAATTGGGCGTTGAAGCATCGGTTCATCAGTGCAATGCCGTAGCGGCTAGGCTACGAGGATGAGAAGCATGCTGAAAAGGGCTTCCAAGAAACCCGTGCTCCAAGCGTGGGAGTACATATCTTTTTTCATCGGACAGATTTAACAAATGCGGGAGATGCGAATGGAAGCGTGGAACAACTTTCCATGCGAGACGAGGACCGTGAGACCAACTTTGCTGTGGAGAGGGCGGAGAATACGAGATTGGAATCACTGAACACTGAAGCATGTAATAAAAGGATGTTGCTCAACCCCGAACCACGTGGCCTGATGCTTGGAATCGTGTACGTTGCTGGGGAAGTTGCAAGAGCTCTTCAGCCATGTGGGCTGGCTCAGCTGCTGCCTGCTGCCGCCCGTGTTGGTGATACACTACTGATACAGTCGAGAGAGTTTCACAAGTTCCAACCATTTCCATAGCTGCTACTGCTAGCTGCCACTCCTTGTACCCATCATGATTGCATGGATCGTGACCAAGTTATACGAGTCATTAGGGCAACTCCAGCGCGATTAATCAAAACGGACACTACTTCCCGTAAAAAAAAAACAAAACGGACACTACTCTATACGTCCAGAAATAAGGGCATCTCAAAATGTCCAGCCGATGTGTCCGGACGATGCATCGAATGCGATGCTTCGAAATCCGTAAACCCGACACAGAGTGAGGGCATCTTCAACAACCGCGACCCGCACAAGTTCCGCGGATAAAAGAATCAGTCCACAAACATAGATATAGGAGGCCGCCGTCTAATGTTGTCTTTTTCATTTTCTTTTAAATTCCGCATGATTAACTAGCCGCATACATAAAATACAGATGTTCAAATAGCCACATGCAACACTAGTTCAAATGTAAAAAAGGTTGAAATATTACTCCCTTCGTTCATTTTTATAAGTAGTTTCAGACAACTAAAAATAAGCTACTTTGCATCCTGTCTAAAATGTCTTCAAGGCCTTATAAAAGTGAACAGAGGGAGTACATCTCAACATTGTTGTCTTTTTTAACCATCCAGAGATGCTCAATCAGATCTTCCTTCAGTTGCTCGTGAGTTGGTTGATACCAAATTTATTGATGCATTTGAATAAACTCTTCAAATGTTGCCGGATTATGGTGTGGAAGTTCTATAGGATCTCCCATGTTCTCATATTCTGGAGCTGCAGCAGCATCCTCACCCTCATCATCGGTGATCATGTTGTGCATAATCACACAACATGTCGTTACCTCCCACAAGGTCTCTGGATCCCATTGTTAAGCCGGTCCACGAACAACTGCAAAACGGGTCTGCAGAACTCCAAATGCCTTCTCCACATCATTTTTAGCTGTTTTTTTGTCTTTGGGCAAAGTGAGATTTTTTCTGGCCGACTGGGTTAGAGATGGTGCTGATTGATACCGTCAACCAGATAGTAACCAATGTTGTACTCATGTGCATTGACAGTATAGTGGCAAGGAGGAGCATTTCCTTCAACCAGCCTAGCAAACAACGGTGATCACTTCAGCACATTGATGTCCTTGTGAGACTCGGGCGTTGCCAAAGAAAGCGTGTCAAATCCAAAGATCATGTGATGCAACTGACCTTGTAAAGCCTTCTGTCGATGTCAAAACCGGCAGTTCTCGGGTAGGGGGTCCCGAACTATGCGTCTAAGGATTGATGGTAACATGATACAAGGGACACGATGTTTTACCCAAGTTCAGGCCCTCTTAATGGAGGTAATACCCTATGTGTAACGCCCCGAGACCGATGTGGCAGGTGTCCTCCAGTTATTCGCTGTTGTTGCCTTGTCATTGCTTGCGTGTCATGCATGTCATATCATGTCATCATGTGCATTTCATTTGCATACATGTTTGTCTCATGCATCCGAGCATTTTCCCCGTTGTCCGTTCTGCAATCCGGCGCTCCTATGTCCTCCGGTGTTCCTTTATACCTCTTTTCGTGTGCGGGTGTTAAACATTCTCAGATTGGACCGAGACTTGTCATGCGGCCTTGGTTTACTACCGGTAGACCGCCTGTCAAGTTTCGTGGCATTTGGACTTCGTTTGATACTCCAACGGTTAACCGAGGGACCGAAAAGGCCTCGTGTGTGTTGCAGCCCAGTACCCCTCCAAAGTGGTCCAAAACCCACCTAAACCTCCTCCATCATCTAGGCCGTTCGATCATGATCGCGTGGCCGCAAACCGCACCTCATTTGGACTCTCCTAGCTCCCTCTACCTATATATATATGTGATCCCCTCTGAAATATTCGCAGTACAAACCCTACCCTAACTTCCCTCCGCGCCGTCGGACATGTCCATCCACGCCGGACGCGTCCATCGGCCACCTCACTCCGGCCAATAGGAATCCGCCACGTCACCCCGCCGCCGTATCCCTCCACTCGCGCGCTGCCACGTCGCCGTCCCCGCCGTCCCTCCACCGCGCGGCCCGCCGAGCCTGGACCGGGCCCGCGCGAGCCTGGATCTCCGCTGCCGTCAGCCCGCACCTGGCCGCGAGCGCGCCGCCCGCGCCTGACCGTGTCCGAGGCGTGGTGCCTCCCGCCG